GATGAGAGCAGTGTGGAGGCCAACTGCCAGCGACGATGGTCACACCAGCACCTTGGCGTGAACGTTCTTGGGTACGATGGTAAAAGGTATGTTTATTTACCAAAATGTAAAAAACTAAACTCCAACAAACAAGCAAAGCAAAGCAAAAACCCACTGTGGCCAGCACCTGGGGAGACCTAGAGTCCCCGCCCAGCTGCCACTTCCAGGGGAGCTGGGGCCTGTGGCCTGGCCTGAGCCGGTGACCGGAGCCCCGCGTGCCCAGGTGAGCGGTCTCCACGCCCCTGCCCCTCTCTCACACTGCCCTCCACCCGCCCCAGGGCCCCTGCCGCCCACCGATCCTGGCTGGGCCTCCCTCCAGCCTCCTTCCTGCCCCAGAAGGATGAGTTCACGCCAAGGTCCGCTCCCTACTGGCTTTTCCGGGCAGGGATTGGCCCGCCCTCAGCCCCAGCACGCTCAGCTCCTCAGGGTGGTCGCAAGCAGCCTGAGCCCATGACCCGCAGACGTGTCGCCCACCCCCGCCCACTCACCACTTGTCCGACTGCTCCCAGCTGAGCACGGCCCAGCCCTCTACGCCCATCTGGGGCTGAACTGCCCACCACCTCCTTCCTGCCCCATCCCCTGTGTAGGAGCCACAGAGCAGGGGTCCCAGAGGAGCGGGCTCCCTGCCCACCGCTGCACTCCCACCGCACAGCGTCCGCACCCTCCCTCTGCCCGGAGCGGGGAGGACAGCACGGGGGACCCCCAGGGGCGGCCTGCAGAGGCCCCTCCACTGAGCGGTGGGAAGCACAGCCCTTGGGCTGAGGGTGTGGGGTGGGCAGAGCCGTAACTCCCGAGCGCTGCTGAACGCTCCCAGCCTGTGACCTGGTGGAGTGGCCTTCAGGAAAGTGTCAGGGAGTGAGAAGGCTTCACACCTCAGGGGCACGAGTGTGGTGGGTGCCGTGGGCTGAGGAGCAGTCCGAAGTCAGGTGAAGGGATGGTGACTGACTAAGTCGAGGCCGGGCCTGAGCGGCAGCTGCTCAGATGCACCAGGGGCTGCAGGGGCAGGACGAGGGTGAGGGGCGGCTGAGTGAGAAATGCAGCATTTGGGGGGCAGGCGGCCTCTTCCTGTGGTCTCCACCGGGAAAACGCCCTCCTGAGTGAAGCCAGGCAGGGGTGCCGGCCACGCTCATGTCGGGTGGGGATGGGGGTCTCCTCCTCCCAGGACCTGGCCTCCCTTCTCTGCAAGTCCTTGTCACTCTGGGGTCGTCATTCCTGCCCAGCCTTTCCCTGGGCCAGGCAAGGGTTTCAGGGGAGCCCCAGGAAGGTGGGGGGCTCCCTGGAGAGGTGAGGTCTGCAGAGCCTTCCCACGGCCTGAGCACTGTGTGGGTCCTGCCGTGAAGTCCCAGCCGGAGCCACCTGGGATTCCACTGGGGTTGCTCCTGCAGCTGCCGCCTTCTCTGGCCTCGTCCTTTCTGCCCGGTCGGCTTCACTCGGTGCCTTCCCAGTCCCCGGGAACAAGCAGGGCACGGCCGTGGGCCAGGGCTGCAAGGTGCCAGGCGGAGCCAGGCTGGCCTCAGCAGGAGACTCGCTTCTCCCACTAGTGATTTTCAGTCTGCCAGCTCCTTCCTCGCCTCCCGGGGCCGGCCTGCCTGGGTGACCACGGACGCCTGCCCACCCCAGGACGGGCTGGCACTGTGGGCAGAGCTGGATGGCTCCCCATGGCAGCCCGTCTCGTACCAGGCTTCACTTCCCCATTCCTGCAGCCCAGCAGGGCTGAGGCCACCCACCCCAGAGCTTCCTCAGAGCTTTCACCCTGAGAACCCGCCCACCCCGCAGGGGACGGAGCTGGGTCCAGAGTGGCTCTTGGTGTTGTCCTGGGCCCCTATGTGGGGGCTGCAGAGGCCAGAGCAGGACGGAACGCCTTCTCAGCATGGGGGTGCTGGCGGCAGCCAGGGGGCACCAGGCCACTTCAAAGGCAATGGTTTCTCTGCTTGCTCCTCCCAGCGGGGGTCAGCCCCAAGGCCCTCAGAGGCTGTGAGTGCGGATGCCAGGCTTAGCAGGGGGAACACAGGGACCTCTGCAACATCCAATTCCAGACCAACCACAGTCAGTGTCCGTGTGCCGTGCAGTTAGATGTGAACCTCAGATCATGCCAACAGCCGGGCATCCTGCATTTTCTTCGCCCCCCGCTGCAGAGTTAGGCCTTGAAGGGGAGTCTGGCTCTGGGAGTCAGGATGCCGGCTCATCCTGCGTGGTGAGCATCGCTGCTCCATCCTGAAGCCCAGACTGCCCACGTCAGCACAGAAGCGGATTCCCCACAGAGACGTCTGCATAAAGGGCGCCTGGTCTCGGGCGGCTGGACTCTGTCTGAGAGCCTGGCTCCTGCGGTTCCTCCGTCCACTGAGGACCTGGACCGGGCGTGGCCGAGCTTGCTCAGACCGCACATCAGTGCCAAGCATGTCTTCTCAAGCCCTACTCTTCTGCGTCCGCACCTGAGCCTGAGCGGGCCTGGCAGGTTCGCTGGGCACCTTGGTCAGAGCACCCTGTCCTGGAGAGAAAGGCCTGCTGCCCGCCACAGAAGAAGGGTGTCCTTCCCAGAGCACCACAGGTGCTGGTGGTGGGTGTGGACCTCGGCTGTAGGCTCCCATCTTGGTTCTTTGGTGTCCTTTGGTGTCCCTGAGGCTGTACAGACTGTGCCCGTGTTCCCGAACAGGTGGCTGGGCTGGGGGTGGGGGGCTGTGAGCACAGGGTTGGTGCGGCAGCGTCCTGGCAGGGCTCCTGGCATGTGGTGGCGTGGGGGCTGCTGAGCATGGCTGACTGAGGAACGACCACCTCCCAGTCCCCAGAACCTGTGAACAGGACCTTATAAAGCACAGGGAGTGTCGCCTGATGCGGTAACAGACTGAATTTTGGGTAAACTGAAGCCTGTGGGATGAGGAGATTATCCGAGATGCTCTCCCCAGTGCCCTTGTAAGCGAAGCAGGAAGACCTAGCACAGCTGTCCCAGGAGAGGACCACGTGAGGATGGAGGCCACGGACATGGAGAGACGTGGCCAAGGAATGTGGCTGCCCCGGGAGCTGGGAGCCTCTGCAGGAGCTCAGCCACGCAGCACCGTGCCCTCAGGCGTCCGGCCTCCGGAGCCGTGAACATTCACTTTTGTCATTGTACATCCGCCGTGGTCCCTCGAAGCCCCGGAAACATGCCCACACCGTGGGCTGCAGCTGCGCTGAGCCCCCACGGCTCAGGGTGTGCCCCTGATGCCTCCTCGGAGTTCAGCCCGGGGACTCTGCTCAGGCCGGAATGTCTCCTTCCCACCCGCCTTTCCCAGCACATCTGGGACTTCCTGAAATACAGGATCCGAGCCCTGGCCTGCACTCCGCTCCATGGAGAGACTGAATCAACACCCATCTGAGCGTTTGCGGTTGCCCCGGGTGCCAAGGGGCCCCTTTGTGAGTTGCCGAGGCCCCATGGCCCGTCTGGCCTCTCTGACCCTTCCCACCCTGACCACACTGCCCTCCTGGGGTCAGCATTGGGGTCTGGGGTGCACTGTGGCTGGTGCTGCCTGCAGGCCTCTGGAGCTTTGACCCTTTGTGGTCAAAGCTGCCCAGCTGTCCAGGGAAGGCGCCAGCATCCCCTCCGTCAGCACGTCTCCTCTCTCTCCCGAGGGCGGGTCCAGCTTCCCAGGGATTTCCTGGTGCGGTCACATGATCCTGTGAGCCTGGCATCGTCTGGTTCTGGGTTCACCGAGTGTGACACTGCTCTAGCCACAGCGAGATCACCATGCCATTCACCACCCCCCAGAGGGGCCAAGGGGCCAGGATGGGGCCTGGCCCTGGAAGATCTGACCTCAGCCAGGCACAGATGCAGAGAGCGGGGTCCCTTGGGGCAACCAGCTGGGTTCAGCTCAGGAACTGGCTGGAGCCAGTGAAGGACAGGACAGGGTGGCGGCCGGAAGGGGGACAGCCAGGTGGAATCTCCTGCTGAGGGGGGCCCTGGAATCCCCTGTCCTTGGGCCCTTGACAGCAGTGGGAGAGGGGTTTTAGGGGCAAAGGAGGGTGCACAGCCTGAGGCTGCCCCAAGGGAGAGGGGCCTGCTCTGTGGCCACCGGAGGGGGCAGCTTGGCGGCTGAGGAGCCCAGCTCTTCTCGTGGCTCGGCCTGGGCACTTCGGGTAGATTGGGGGGGTCTCCTGGGCGAATTCAGATCACTGGGAGGTTTCTGGGAGGTGGAGCTGGGACACTGAAGGGGTCCTCAAATCACAGATGTTGAAGACATGTCTCAGGCAGATGAGCTCCCTGGGCAGCTGTGGCCAAGGCTGAGGGGCGGGACAGGGCTCTCCAGGATGCAGGGTCCAGTTGCCCTGCAGCAGTGCCCACCTCCCCGCAGGCCAGAGGCCCGTGGAGATGGGGACGGTGGCACGCGGCTGTGCCTGGGGGCCTAGGCAGGCCATGGGTGAAGGCCCAGGACAAATGGGTCCTTGAACCTGAACAGCTGTCCTGGTGAGGCGCACACGTGCTCCAAGCAGCTCCAGAGAACAGGAGTGGGCCAGGCTGGGGGAGGAGGATGTGTCTCGCCTGACCGTGGGCTGCCCTGTGAGGTGGTGATCTCCCTGTCCTGGGAGGCGTGGAAGCAGAGACCCGCTCACTGGGCTGCAGCCCCTCACAGAAACTCCCAGGCACCAGGAAGTGAGTGGCTCCTGCCCCCTGTCCCCCCCCTCCTGGGGTCCTGGTTCGGGCCATAGCTCTGACTCCCCAGGGGGTGAGAGGCCCATCTCCCCGACGCCGGTGTGGGGCTGTGTGTACGTTCACTGTTTGCAGACACCCCTGCGGCCGAGCACTGATGCACACGGCCAGCTGGCAGGGCCAAGGGGCGGTGGGGCGGCTCCCTGCTGGTTGGGACTTGCAGGGCTCTGCGAAGGGAGGCGGGCGGGGCCCGCAGGGTGCCTGGCGCAGGTGCTGGAGGGGGATGGTGGGACGAGGGGAGCCTCGGAGACTGCTTCTCTCTGCAACTAGATGAGCTCCAGCTCCTGGGCAGGCGGGTGCCAGCTCCGCTCAGGTTGGAGGCAGGGTGGGGCAGGGTGGGGTGGGGATGGGCAGCCCCGGGGTCCCAGGCCCAGGTGGCTGGATGCGCAGCAGGCTCAGAGGCAGGAGTCACGCCCGAGCTGTGGCCTGTGCAAGTGTCAGGCGTCTTCTTTTAGCCGGGCACAGGTATCTCAGGGGAACACTGTAGAGACTTGGCCCCTGGGTTCCCCACCTTCCAGGCAGCCTTAGAGAGGCCGGGGCTCCCCCGCTGCCACCGCCCTGCCCCCCTTTCTCATTGGCACGGCGGTGCCTTGTGTTCCCTCCCATCTGGCAGGGAGGCTGGGGCAGGGGGGCTTGACCCAGGGACCTGCCCCTGGGCTGGGGACAGCGTGGGCAGAGGCCCATCGGGACCCCACACAGGCTCCCCTCCCAGGGACGCGCAGGCCAGCCGCAGTATTCCTCCAGGGACCCCAAGCCTGGCTGGGACAGGAGCCTGCCTTAGGCCTAAGATGAGAGAGCTCTTCTGACAGGAGGGAGGAGGGCCTTAACCAAGCCCAGCCTCCGCCTGCCCCGGCCCCTGTGACATTCCCAATTGCTGGGGACTGACTCACCCCCACTTCAAAGGCCTTAAATAGTTCCGGTATTTCACCTGCTAGCAGTGCCATCGCTCTGGAATTCTGCTCTGTGGAGAGCCGAGGCCCCACCTGCAGACCCAAGGCTCACCTGGGCAGCCGCCTCCTCTCAGCCCACCTGCGCTCCCGGCCTTCTGAGTCCTCCTCAGGGGCCATCGGCCCTCGCCTGCCGCTGCCGACAGGATGCCCGCCCCCGCCGCCCCCACCGCAACCACGGCCGTGCAGGTGCCCCTGTGGCACCACTACCTGCAGGCCATCCGGTCCCGGGGGGCGCCGCGTGCCCAGGACTTCCAGCGCGCAGAGAACGTGCTGCTCACGCTGCTGGAGCGCGTGCACGCCCTGGACCCCCGCTTCACCGTGGACTACTCCCGAGGCCTGGAGGCCTTCCAGTTCGCCCTGCGCTCCTCTGAGGACCCCCTGGACATGGAGGTGCCCCTGCGGGTGGACGCCGAGGCTCTGCTGATTGAGGAGCCAGAGGCTGCCCAGCCGGGGGATGGCCCCGAGTTATGCCGCCTGGGTGTGCCCAGGGAAGGGGCTGGCCTGGAGCGGTGGACCACCGATGATATCTTCACTGCCTCCTCGGAGGGGGACGCCAAGTGCCGTGGACACATTGTGCCCAGCAAGGTCCTGTGTGTCCTCAGGGACCTGCTGGTGGCGGCCATCGTCCACTGCAAGCACCACAGCCTCATCGCGCCAGGTAGCAGGCGACACCCAGTCCGCACGTGTCTGTGCACTGAGTGGCTGCTGTGTGGAGCTCACGGAGCCGCACCTGCCCGCTGTGGGTGTCTGTGTGCAAGCGTGCGAGTGCGCATGCGTGTGATTGCTGCGTCCCCGTGCACAGGGTGGCAACGTCCTCTGTGGTGACTGCATGCGCAGGCATGTGTGCATGTGTGTGATCACTGTGCTTTGGGGCACGGAAGTCGGGAGACCTCACTGAGGTCCTCCAGCTCCAAATGCCTCTGAGCAGACAGCTGCTGTGTCCTGAGTCATGTGTGTCTACCCTGGGGTTTCCACGGAGCCACTCCTTCAGTGGCTGGAGTCTGGGGCAGCCGCTTCGCTGGCAGACTTGCAGGAGGGTCCCTCACAGGGCTCTGGGCAGGTGGCTCTGTCGCCAGTCACGGCCTGTGACCTCGAGGCCGTCCCATCCCCGCTTCCAGTGCTGGTCACGTTATACCGGGGGGAGGGGTGTGTGTGTGCCTGCCCGCGTGCATGTGAATGCAGGGGTGTGAATGCGCGTGTGTGTGTGTGTGTGTGTGTGTGTGTGTGTGTGTCTTATCAGCTTGTGCCTGTTGGTGTCTTGAGCCCGAAGTGGGCTCTGAAGCTTCCACGAGGGCAGGGGCTGGCCTCAGTCCCTCCTCTGGGGCCTTGCTGACACAATCCAGGGTGAGTCTGAGCCCAGGGCTCCTTCCGCAGGGCTGCCTGGACGGCGAGGGTGGCTGGGAGGACAGGGCTTGTCCTGTGCAGGGGCCAGGATGACAGGGACCCTGAGTGGTGCAGCCATCCTCCGTCCTGGAGGGGAACTGGGGACTGGAACAGAATGTCCTGCTTCCCTTGGGAGGGACAGGCTTGTCACGTGAGTCACCCCCGTCCTCACAGGGCCTTGTTGCCTTGAGTCACCTCCCTGGTATTTATCTGACCCTCGTGTCCACCGTGAGGTCAGTGGGTGGAGTGGTCAGCTCGCCTTCCCCGGAGGCCGTGACCTGCAGAGGTCTGCCCTGCCCTGGGGCCGGCCGGGAGGCGGGGCACCTTCTGTGGGTTCTTGGGGAGGGTGTGCTTCCGCCACACACAGCCAGGCCTGTCTGCGCCAGAGGGCCCGGAGGGTGGATTCGAACAGAAGCCTCCCCAGAGCTGTCTGGTTTCCTGGGGTGAATGATGGGCCTGACCTCGGGGTGTCAGCCTCTGGTGCTCCCAGCAAGCCTTCCCCCTGCCCCAGCATCTTCTGAACCTCTAATCATGCCAGCCGTGGGGTGGGGATTTGTGTCTTCTTGCCTGAAGTCACCTGGCCCTGTCCACTGCGGCCTAATGCCCACCTGTGAGATGGGCCTACCTGCTGGGGTGAGCAGGAGGTCATGCCAGGTGCTGGGTCGTTACGGTTCAGTCTAAGCTGCTCACACCCCAGACTGTGCCCTGAGAAAGCAGACCCGATACTGCAGGCCGCGCCCACGGCCCCGAAGCTGCGCTGGGCTGGGCGGCAGGGACATTCCGGGCGTTGTTTCCTGACACTTACCTTAAAAGGGAGGCGGCAGCAGCCCAGGTGACGAGGTCAGGCTGCCCCCACCCTGGGAACCGGTGAGGCCAGCCCGGGGGCTGGTGCAGGCATGGCTACCTTCCAGGCTGCCTGGTCACAGGCAGGAGCGGTGTGGCTGGCCAGACGAGGTGTGTGGCTCCCAGAGGCGGCTCTGACTGGCTGCATGGAGGGGCCCCTCCTCTCTCACTGATGGGAACTGAGGCCCTTGAGGGATGGGCTGCCTGCGCGGCAGGGCCAGGGTTGCCCTGGGGTGGGTCCCAGAGGGGTCCCCAGAGCTGCCCGACAGGAGATTGTGGGTGCTGAGGGTTCACACAGCGGGACCAGGCTCTCTCTGGAAGGGCAGCGGGATGGTGGGAGTGCAGGCCCCATGCTCACTCACGAGAGGGACCTTTCCCGAGGCACAGGCCAGGATTCCCAGGGACATGCCAGCATGCTGCCTGGGCCTCGCTCCCTCTGACTGGGGCGCCCTGGCTGGGCAGCTGGGGAGGGGAGGGGAGGGGCGGCCCCTCCCCCGGCCCCTGGCCCGTGTTGGGTGGGGCCATGCAGGTGTCTGTGCTCACCCTGAGTGTTACGTCACCGCTGGGGACTCGCCAGAACCCCCAGCCTCGCCCCATCACGCCCTGGAACAGCCCCTCTGGGGCTCTGAGCTCCGAGTTAGGGAAGAGGGCACCGCGTTGGGCCCCGGGGTGGGGTCTGAGTAAGGAGTGGAGTGGGAAACTCTTGACCAGAGTGTGCCGCCTGTGAGGTGACAGAGGCCATGGGGCTCTCGGGCCAGGGCTCTCTGGTAAGCGGGGACCCAGGCCTGGTCAGGAAGAGCGGCTGGGCTTGGGCACTGTGAGCCTGCTGGCCTGGGCAGCCCAGAAACGGGGTGGCCGAGCCGGGTTGCTGCTGCCGGCCGCCATGGGCTCGTCTCTCCACGGGAACTGAGCCTGGCCTGGGCCTGTCCCTCCCTCCCCAGCTGCCCCCATCATGTAAACTGGTCCCCTAGACCTGGGTGCGACATGGTTTCTGTGCACGCAGTGGTTTGAGGGCAGGAGGCTCTCAGGGAAGCTTCCAGGAACAAGGGCACGGGGGAGGAGAGGCCCAACCTGGCTTCACCCTCTCCAGCTCTGGGGTGGGGGCCCTGCTGGCCCCAGCCTGGGCTGTTCCTGCCCCCTTCCCCGCAGAGAAGGCAGCAGAGACACCCGGCCACTGTCAGGAGGTGGGAGGCTAGCTGAAGCCTGGGGCTTTGGTACCAGTGCTGGGGCAAAGTGGGCAGGCTCAGGAAGGCCTGTTGGGCACAGCAGGCAGGGCCCTGGGGTGTGGGGGAGGGCAGTGCCTGGGGAAGGAAGACCTCACATAAGATGCTGCTGTCATCACTGACAGTTGTGCCCAGGACTGTCACTGCTGGGCAGGCATGCTGGCCAGCCCCTCACTCGCTGAGGTCCAGGGATGGACACAGGTATCGGGGATTGGGGCACTGCAGCCTGCAGGTGGGGGCCAGCAGAGAAGGCTGCAGGGGAGAGGTGAGGAGGGGCAGGGGCCAGGTCGGCAGCAGGAGGGGTCTGGGGAGTGTCCTGGGCAGGGAGGCGGGTCGAGGGCCTGGCGTGACATGGGTCTTTGCAGGTTCGCTGAACGCGGACAGCCTGAGGGAGGAGCAGCTGCACCTGTCCTTGCTGGTGTCCAGCGGCTGGAGGACAATCCGCTTCCACGTGGTGCCCGTGGTGAGAAGGGGGCTTGGGGTTCCTGCGCTGGAGGGGGCCCAGCAGATGCCTGGATTCCCCGAGGCCAGCCTGAGAAGGGTCCTCAGCCAAGGGGTGGACCTGGTGCCAGCCAGCGCCCAGCTCTGGAGGTAGGCTTGCCCTCCTGGTCACAAGGCTCTCGGGGAGCGGGCAGGAAGGGGCCAGCACCCCGATGCTGCCCCGGCCCCCATCAGAAGGATCTGCCGGGCCCTCTGCCTGCCTCTGCCCCCATGGGCATGTGTGTTCCCCTGAGATTGCTGGGGTCTCTGGCTGCAGGGAGGATAGAAATGTGTCCTCTCCTGAGTGGGAAGGGGGATGGTGGCATCTGATGCTGGGTGATGAGAGACCCTGCCCTAGATGGGACCTTTCATTACCCGGCTTTTGCTTGGGGCAGGAAAGTCGCTGAGAGGTCAGGCAGCCCGTCCAGGCAGGGCGGGTTCCCAGAGAAGCTGGGAGGGTCCCCACAGAGTCAGGGTGCATCCACACTGGTGTCTGTGAGAGGGAGGAAAGGGCGCTGGGCAGAGGCTGAGCTCCCCTCAAGACCCCAAGCAGGGACTGTGGCCAGGGACTGCGCCCCATCCAGATCCCACGTTGCTGCAGCAGCCTCTGGGGTGGCTCACCCCTGACCCCCAACTTGCTGGAAGGATGATTGGATCCACACTCTGTCAGGGGAGGGCTTTACAAAGCTGTCATGCCCCTCCTGTGGTTTTCTCCTGCAAGGAAAGGCTCAGCGGAGAACCAGCGACCTCATACCCCGCCCTGTGCTCCCGCTGACCCCTGAGCGTGGAGCGGGGGTGGCATTGAGGCTCGTGGAATGGCTTCCCACCTTCCCAGGAAGGGGAAGGGCTGGGCTGGGCAGAGTCATCTTTGCAAGTAAATGGGAGAATGACATTTTGGTGCCCCATGTCCTGCAGACTGTCCCCTGCAGCAGCTCCGTGAAGGTTGTGAGGCCAGGCCCTGCCCCCAGCCCGTCTAGCACGTGTACATCAAGCCCCTGGTGTGAGCTGCTCTGAGCGACGGGTCTGGGTGGTGTGGGAGTGGGGAGCAGAGATTCGGAGCCCCTTGTGTGGCTGGCCCTGGAGGCTGCTGCCCTGGGCTTCTGACAGGGGCCGTGGGTGGAGCTGTCACACCCCTGGGCTGGGTGGCTGAGGCCTGGCAGGCCTGAGAGGCACCTTCCTGTCTACACAAAGGGCCGGGACGGCCCAGAGGCTCTACGCCCCCTGAACCCGGGCCAAGGAGTCTCCATGGAAACCAGGCGTGCACTGCACAGCCGGTGACCGCGGCTCCTGAGAACCTGGGGTCTGGGCCGGGTCCCACCTGCAGGCACAGCGCAGCGCAGCACAGCCCCAGCCTGGGCCCGAGCCTCCGGGGCTCAGAGCTCCCCACACCGGGGGCCGGCAGCAGCGGGGACTGACCCAGTGCGTCTGTCTGGGCCCCAGGACCTCCACTGACTACCTGCTCACCAGGCTGCTGGGGGAGCTAGGCTCCCTGCAGGGCCATCGCCTGGACAGTCTCTCCGTCCTCGACCGGGTGAATCATGAGAGCTGGCGAGACGGTGGCCGGACCGACGGCCTGACCTTCAGCCATCTGAAGGTACCGGGCGGGGCTCTGCAGGTTGTCCACGACCGGGGCCCTGGGGTAGGTGCACCTGGGCGTGTCCCTCCTGCCAGCCCTGATGGCGGGCAGCTGGAGTCACGAGGATTTTGAGGACCTGCCCAGGTTCTGAGGAGGGGAAGACATGGCTTGTGAGGGTCGTGGGGATGTGGCGGCAGGGGCCATGGTACCACCGGCTGGCCTTTGTCATTCCTGGGTCTTGACCTCAGAGGCCCTCCTGGCTTGGGACACTGTTGGGAAGAACCTCAGGGAGGGGCCTCCCAGAGCTGGGTGTTCCTGCCCAGCGAGCCTCCTCCCAGCGTCTGGGAATGTCAGCCGGCAGGGACGCCTCCCTCTGGGGGTTCCCAGGAGAGTCCAGGCACCCCCTCCCACCGCTTCCTGGGCTGCAGAGATATTCTGGCACAACTGTGACCTCCTGGGGCTTTGTAACGTCAATGCTGAGAAGGACAAGGAACAGGCAGGGCCGGGACTCCAGCCCACCCCAACCCGGGAGGCAGGTGGGGCTATGCTGTCCTGGGTCTCGGCTCGGCTGACTCCTCTGTGGAGTGTCTGGCCGACTGGGCGCTGCTCCATGGCTGGGGCTGGCCCCTTCACCTGGCTCCGTGTTGACGGAGAGGTGCCCCTCCTGGTGTCGGGGGTCCCCAGGCGGCCTCTGGCCATGCCTCTCAGGCTTCCACCCGACCTGGAGCTTTCAGCGTCCCTTGAGGTCGGATGTACGGTGGTTCCCAACCCCAAAATCCACCGCAGGGTGCGGGGGCAGTGGAAGAGGAGGTTTGGGAAGGGCCTGTGAGACAGGGCCTGGGGCGGGAGGGAGGACGAGGGCCTCTGGGGCGGCTGCAGGCAGCGCAGGTCTTGGGGTGGTGAGCACACAGACCATCACCGTGACAATGCCATGGGCCTGTTGGGTTGGGCTGCAGGGGGTGAGTAGGAGCTCAAAGGGCCCAAGGAAATGACAGAAAGGCCCAGAGGATGCTGGGAGCTGCAGAGGCCCCCAAGGGAGGTCCTGGGGGGTGAAGATAGGGGCTGGGGGTGGGACCCCAGGGTCAGGGCCAGGCAGGAGAGGAGAGAGAGGGGTTTCCTGCTTTTGGGAGCCAGCAGGCTGGGGCAGTGGGTGGGAGGGGCCTGGGGCAGTGGGTGGGAGGGGCCTGGGACTCCAACTGGGACATGGAGAGGGGTGGGTGGGAGCAGGGAGGGGCAGCTGGGGTGAGGGAGGGGGCGCAGGCTGGGCCAGCTGGGTGGAGGCTGACCCTGCGGTCCCGCAGATGGTGCTGCTGTGGGCCTCCACGCTCTTCCCGGCGCCCGAGGACTGGGCGGAGCTGCAGGGCGCTGTGTACCGTGTGCTCGTGGTGCTGCTGTGCTGTCTGGCCACGCGGAGGCTGCCCCACTTCCTCCACCCGCATCACAACCTGCTGCAGGGCAGCGGCCTGGACCTCGGCGTCGTCTACCAGCGCGTGGAGGGCTTCGCCAGCCAGCCCGAGGCGGCGCTGCGCATCCACGCCACCCACCTGGGCCGCAGCCCCCCGCCGCGCGTCAGCTCCGGGCTCAAGGCGCTCCTGCAGCTGCCGGCCAGCGACCCCACCTACTGGGCCACCGCCTACTTCGACGTCCTGCTGGACAAGGTGGGTGCTGGCTGTGGGGGCCTCGGGCCAGCCCAGGGGCGCGGGAGGGTGGGGACACAGCCCTGGCCCAGCTCCCCACCCACTCTCTCCTGGATCAGGGGCCCCAGGAATGCTGAGGCCAGATCAGGGGCTCCATGGATGGTGTCTGCGGGGACGTGTGATATGTGGGGATCACACGTGTGTGATATGTGGGGACCCCCACGGGCTGCGGGGGTCCCCTTGCTGGTGGCTTCACAGGGCCCGGAGCTGCTCCCTGGAACCAGGGCAGCCAGTCTGACCCTGCCTCCGTTTCCCACCAGAGTTGTCCCCCAGCTCACAGTAAGCCCTCAGAGGCCCAGCTGCCTACCCCAGAGCTCCATTCCTCATGAAGGGCTCTGACCTTACCTGGGCCTCACTGGGACCGCTTCCTTCTCCCTGGACTCAGGAATCCACAGCCATGCCCCTTGCGGCCCTGTGTCCCCTGGGCCACTTCTCATGGGTGCCTGGAGGCCCCAGCAGCTGCCCCGCCCTGTGCCCCAGGCTCTGCCACTCCTGCCGAGGAGCCTGCCCAGGGTCCACTCTGCTCCTCGCCCAGGGCCCAGCTCTCACCCCCATCCCAGGAGCAAACACGGCCCCCTTCCAGGGCACATCCGGAGTTTCTCCACCACCCTTCCCATGTCCTGGCAGCGGTGAGGCCCCAGGACAGCAGCTTTTTGCTGGGGGTCTTTCGTCCTATTCCAGCAAACTCCCGCCTGTTGAGATGCTGATGGCTCCGGGGTCTCCTCCCCTGCCTGACACTTAAGAATTGTTACCCCAGAGCCTGTAGATGGGGGGGCAGGGGCTGTGCTCTGAGCTCTCAGTGGACCTGAGTGGGCAGGGGCGGGGGCGGGGTGGTCACCGGAGGCAGCCTTCAAGCAGCACCCGTGGGGCCTCCACTCTGCAGACCCAGGCCAGGGACGCCTGTGTGTGATGTGGGGGTTGCGGAGCAGCAGAGGCTGGGGGTGCCCGTCCAGGCAGATACCCGGGGCAGGAAGGCCAGGGGGTCCCAGGGAGGCCAGTTGTTCCGCGCTGTGCTCTCGGCCCTGAGAGCTTATGACGGGCTCCAGTGGTTCTGCTAACCCTTCTCCCCCCAACCTGCTGCAGTTCCAGGTCTTCAACATCCAGGATGAGGACCGGATCGCTGCCATGCAGAGCATCTTCCAGAAGACCAGGACTCTGGGCAGCAAGGAGAGATGAGGGGGGCCGCCCAGCCTTGGCCACCCATTCACGGCCGCCCCACAGACTGTACCACGCCACGGGAGGTCCTGGGGCATCTGGGAGAAGGAATGGGCTGCTCATGGAGGGGGTGAGGGAGGGATTTTGTCCCCAGGAGTGGCCTCTGAGAGTCTTTCAGTGCCTGGCGAGGCAGAGCAGTCCTCCTGGAGCACTTCGTCCCGGGGTGAGGGCCTGGAGGCAGGTGCCACGCTTTCCACGTGGTGCCTGTTGACCCAGCCACATGGTGCTGACAAGAAAGCCACACTGGCTGAGACCTGGGGCTGAGCGCCTGGCCCGGCCTGCACCATGTGCCATTCCTTGGTGATGAAGTGCTGTATATTTGGTCTCAAATAAAGGAACGTGCGCGGCATACGCAGCAGAAAAGACACTCTCCACGTCTCGTATATCTGTGTGGAAAACATTTCCCCTACAAGCAGAAGAGGCCCCCGTGCAGATGGATAATTCTGAGTCTTCTCCATTCTCTACCAATGACCCCCTTCTCCAGGCATCCCACCTCCAACCTTGTTCTTACAGCAAACTCAGGCCGGCAGAGGGGGCACACGGCCATGAGCCCGCCCGCCCAGGACTAGTCCCATCTGCGTCTGCCCGTCCCTGGGGAAGTGGCCCCAACTCATGCCGAACTGTACTCCCCAGTGTTGGGAGGGGTGCGTGGGAGTGATGGGATCGCGGGTGGACTCCCCCTCGCCGTCCCCGCCATAGTGAGGACGCGCCCCCCCCCCTCGCCGTCCCCGCCATAGTGAGGACGCGCCCCCCCGCCTCGCCGTCCCCGCCATAGTGGGCTCTCATGGGACCTGGTTGTCTGAGAGTGCGCAGGCACCTTCCTTTTCCGTCCCCCTCCTCCTCCCGCCGCGTGAGACGCGCCTCCTTCCCCTTCACCTTCCACCATGATTGTGTGTCCTGAGCCTCCCAGCCATGCTTCCTGTGCAGCCTGCGGACTGCGAGTCAATTCAACCTTGTTATTCGTCACCCAGTCTCAGCTGGTGGTTTACAGCCCCACGGAACCTACTAATATACCCCAGTCTCTGAGGTAAGGAGTCCTCTCCTGGCGTCCGCGCCACCCGTGTCTGTCCTTACCACTCTGTGCCCCCCGCCCTCACGTTCTCCCATCAGCCACACAGCCTGCCTGCCGCCCCGTGACCTGCGTGGGTCCTGCCCATTGGACGTTTCCTATTCTTCAGCTCTGGCCTCTCAGGGGTATTTACCCCTCAATGCCTGCCCTAGGCTCTCGTAGGGGACCTGCAATCCATGCAGCGGCAGCTCCCCGGAGCCTCCTTGAAAGGGATCTCTGGCCATCTGCAGAGGAAGCACCACTGACGACAGGAGATGCCCAGGCCCCTTGAAGGCCTCGAGATCCAGGGCCTGAGCCGACGACCACGGGAGGGGACACAACATGACACACTCCTCCCCCACTAGAGTGGGGGCTGGTGGAAGACAGAGTCTTGGTTCACATCTGATTCATTACGGATCTGAAGGGCCAGGCCCACCCTGTGGCCATTCCCTTGGCATTTGATTGGGAAGCAGGGTGGCTGCACGCAGCAGGAGTAAGAGCTGAAAGAGCAGGAAGGGCCAAGGGGAAGGCTGCGCTGAAATCATCCGTATTTCCATGACCAAGCCAACCCAGCAAACATACCACCTCCTGGTACACTGACAGAATGCAGTGCCACCTTCAGAGGCTTTAACTCACCAGCATGGCCCAGCAGAAGTCAGGCGGATTACGGTGAATGGCAGTGGATTACCTGAAGCTGACCAGGTTGTAACCCGCAGTCCAGGAGCTGCGCTAGACATGGTATCCTTAGCACAGCAGTACAGCCCGGCCTCTGGAACTCGTATGTGGCCACGGGCCTGGGAAATGCATTGTTTCTAATCCCCATCAGAGGGGAGGCTCAGACACAGTTTGCGTTCACTTGGAAGAGATAACAGTGTGAGTCCCCGGTCTGGCCTAGGCCGATGTGAGCCCTCTTCTCTGTATCACACGCGGGCCTCCTGGGCCTTCATCCCCCGGATGCTCTGTGGGATATTCTGCTGGTTCACTGTATTGATGCCATCATGCATATTAGAACTGGAGAGCGTTGACTGGACAGTTCTTTGGATGCCTTGTAGACACATTCATTCCAGAGGGTGGGAGGCCAACCTTACTGTCTCAAGGTCTGGCCCACAGATGAAGACTTTAGAGGCTCAGTGGCCTAGGGCGTGCTGAGACATTGCTTCCAAGGTAAAGGAGAAGTTTTTGTACCTTGCCCACCTACTGTGAAGAACAAGCATGGTGCTGGGTAGGCCTCACTGGATTTTGGAGGCTACTTGCACCTCTCTTGGGAATGTCCATTTGCCAGGGGACTCGGACAGCTGTTGGTTCTGAGTGGGGCCAAGGCAAAGCAGGTTCTTGAGCAGATTCATGCTACGATACCACCATGGTGTGAATGGCATCTGCTGTAGAAAAGGGGCACCAAAGCCCAAAATAGGAGGCGAAGTCCTGAAACAAGAGCATGCTGTCTGCAGCAGAGAAGTGCTGCTGTTGAGAAGCAGCACTGGGTGTGATACTGGGCTCCTGGCCACGAGACACCAGGTAACTATGTGGCTGAGCTGCCCCCACGAGCTGAATGTTACGGGGTCCTAAGTTTGGAGGTGGCAGCGGTGGTACAGCAGCAATCCATTGTACATGGACGTGCGTGGCAGGCAGGGTGGGTGGAAGCACGTCAGTCACATGATCAGTGGCCTGGGTCACCCTGTCATCACCTGCGTGCACCTGTGCCTTTCTTTTAGCCTCGCATGCATGGCCTGGAGAGGGTTCCCTGGGACTAGATGACTGAGGAGGAAATCTAGAGCCTGGCTTATGGATACGATGGCTTGGTCTTTGGTGCAAACCAGAATGGGCTCTCCCAACTCAGGGTTCCTAGAAGACAGTGGTGAGGGAAAAATCCTCCGCATGGGCAGAGCATCAAGAAATAGAAATTGTTCGTCTATTTTGTGTGGAGAGACAAGTGGCCCAAGGAAAGGAAACACACAAACATTAAGACAAAGGGTATTACCAGAGGTGAGGGGCGACATTTCGCAGTGATAAAAAAAATCAATTCATCAAGAAGGTGCAACAATCCTAGCAACGGACCTTCAAAAGTCATGGAGACAAATGCATGGAGTGAAAGGGAGAGGGAGACAAGACCACAATCGCACTGGGAGAACGGAACACCCCACTCCCGGTACTTCATAGAAAAAGCAGGTGAAGATTCCCAGTGATACAAAGAAGACCTGAATAACACGGTCATCCAAGCGGACCTCGGGATATTTTAGAAGCTACACCTGAGAGTGGCGGAAGACACGTTCCCCTCAAGTGTCCATGGATAGTCACCAGGGCTGCTGCTAGTTTATAAAGCAGAATCTCAACACATTTTCAAAACACTAAAACCCATATACACTATGAACTCTGACTGCAGCAGATAAATTAGAAAGAAGAAACAAAAGGCATTTAGAATATCCACCAAATGTCTGATAATTACACAAGATAAGTCTAAATAGTCTGTGGTTCAAAGAAGAAATCACAAGGGAAATTATAAAATATTTTGATCTGAGTGATAACAAAAACATCGTCTATCAAAATTTGGGAGATGCAGTGAGGAAAGCGCTCAGAGGGATTTTAGCTTGCGATGCTCATGCTGGGAAAACAAATGTTTTAAATCATTTAAGCTTCTACCATAGGAAGCTAGGAAAAGAGCAGCAAATTAAAACCAAGGCAGGTAAAACAAAAGGAGCACTAACACGAACAGCGGAAATCAGCAGAAAACAAACAATTGCGAAAACGATGGTAAATGTTGCTTTTTTGGAGAGATTAATAAAATCGGTAACCCCCTAGCAAGACTGATCAATGGGGAAAAAAGAGAAAATGTAAATTACCAATAACAGGAATGACACAGGGAAATCACGTGAGAGCCCATCTATAAGCATTAAAGGGTAGTAAAGGGACATTATAGATGATGTCATGCCAGCACATTCAACAACTTAGATGGAATCAAGCATGCCCTGGTAACACATTACCAAAACGGGCACGAAGAGGGAGACGAAAACCAAAGAACTATTAAAAAATTAGAATTCATTAAAAAAAAATCCTTCCCATAAAGAAAGCGCCTGTCCCACAAGGCTTCGCTGGATAATTCTACCAAAGTATAAGGAAAAAATAGTCCCTATTCTAGACAAACTTAATTGGTAAATAAAGGAAAAAAATACTGTCCAAACCATTTTACAAGACCAGTGGAACCCTGCTATCAAAACCTGACAAAGATATCACGAGAAAATAAGAGGTCAGTCAATGAAACAGCACATCCGCAGAATAAAGAAACACAACTTTATGAACACCTCACCGTGGGCAGAAAAGGCAGTTGACAAAAGACGACAGCTGTTCGTGATAAAAACTCTCGCACACCAGGACAGGTGGGACTTCCTGCCTCCCACGCAGGGCAGCTGCCGGAGCCCGACTGCTGACAGCAGCCTGACGCCGACAGACGCCCGTCTCCAAGGTGAGCAGGCTCGGCTCGCCGTGGGTCCAGCTCCGTGTTTGTGGCCTATGTCTGCTCGGTGAAGCAAGAAAAAATAAATAAAAGGCAGAAGAAGTAAAACTCTCATTAGTCACAGGGAGTTTGATTATCTACTTAGAAAACTCAAAGGAATCTACAAAAAAGTTAGTAGACCTTGTGAATTTAGCAAGGTCAGAGATGCAAGATTAATACAGAAAAAAATGGTACTTTATATTAAAAATAAACAACTGCGCCGGGTGTGGTGGCTCCTGTCTGTAATCCCAGCACTCTGGGGGGCCAAGGCAGGTGGATCACGGGGTCAGGAGATGGAGACCATCCTGGCCAATATGGTGAAACCCTGTCTCTTCTAAAAAAAATACAAAAATTAGCCGGGCGTGGTGGTTTGTGCCTGCAGTCCTAGCTGCTTGGGAGGCTGAGGGAGGAGAATTGCTTGAACCTGGGAGGCGGAGGTCACAGTGAGTCAGGATGGCGCCACTGCACTCCGGCCTGGTGACAGAGCAAGACTCTGTCTCTATAAATAAATAAACAAAATAAAATAAACAATTGGAAATAAAAATTTTCAAATGCCATGTATAATGGCATCAAAAATATCAAACACCTAGGAATAAATCCAACAAAAGATCTGCACCCAAGTGGGCTGTTTCCAGGAGGTCCCACTTGGAGGGACAGGGCCACTGGGGGCCGGGGACGCTGCCTGGTCCCGCCTCCTGGGCTGGGTCAGTGGTTTTCCTTGAAGAGCCCCTCCCACTTTGCTGTACGCTGAAAGCTAGAAACATATCTGAGAGTAATTTAACAGACTGAAATTTGCGTTTATGAAATGGAATTTATACTTTATTTCCATTTTCCTCAACTTGTTAGATGGATTTGGTGCAGTTCCTGCCAAAATCTCAGCAAGCTATTCTGAAGAAATAGATACCTGAGTCTAACACGTACACAGAAATTCAAAGGATGTAGGGTACGAAAACCTTGAGGCCTTGTTCTTGAGTTCACGACTTACTGTAAAGCTACAATATTTGAAACAGCACGGGATTGACACCAGGGTGCCATGAGACAGAACGCAGCGGCCGTAACGAGACCCATGCACAT